ATTATCCGTCGTCCGACAAGCACCTGCTGTACGCCAGGAAAGTCATGTGGTCGGCAACGAGAGTTCCCACGTCCAAACGCCTGAGGTGGTTGCTATTACCTTGCAAGCGAGTCGCAGACGACATTATCTGGTGTTCTCTTGACCAGGTCATCCCCATATAGTAGACGCAACCCACTACTTAGGGGGTCCTTCAGTTCCGATATGCAATTACCCAAGAAGTCGTTCAGGGGGTCAGGCTTGCCAACGCCAGAGAATAAGCTGAAAACGAAAACTTGAACATCATTTGGACGACACTACGACCAAGTATTGATCACAGCAACTGGCCCGATCCCCTAACATCGTCATCATCCCCTCAATGCACAATGCACGTTCATTTCCGGAGTTCTCGCTGCCGGCCGACGGTGCACCGCATCGAGCCGACCTCGTCCAAGGCCCAAAAGGACGTAGCATCCGCTCTTCAGGGGTCGCTAATTCACGATCGAGGCGTTCGCAATGGCATCCACTAGCCCTTGGGTGTTGCTGAATGGTAGGGCCACGTCCGATCAAACGTCTTTTTCGTTACGGACACTGGCAGTTACATAACACGGCAGAAATCTTGCAAGTCAGCCAGAAAGTATTTGTTTCTAACTGTTTGTGTGCCTATCATCTCTTCAGCGGACACTAGACCCATTGTTCATTAAGACACGTAAAAGCCTCTCCGTAAGAACTTCCAGACTCCATATAGGTATTTGTCTTTCCGGCGACTGACCTGTCACCACAGACAATGTTGAGGTGACCAAGCACACAGACTCTTCGATGCCAGCATAGTAAGTCTGCATGCCTAGCTCAATACGCTTGTATATAGTGCTCTAGTGGTATCCATAGTAGTTATGCTTCATATTTACTTCCCAGTCACAGCAAAAACGACATTAAATGCGCATAACTGAGCATTAACCGCCCAGTCTACTACAACGGACACCATTAGGCTATGAGACCTAACTGGTCTTCAAGAAATTTGAAAGTTACTATTATGCATATAGATTAATGTAGTCAAGCATAAAAGGCAGCAAAAAGATATTGCTTACGGCTGTAGCGAAAAATAACACGAGTGGGCAATCGGAGAACGCTCCATGTTTGCCACGAAGCACGTTTAAAAGATAAGTGCCCTCCAAATGGCTCACTTAAGCAAAGTTATTTATTTATTCATCAGTCAAAGAACAATTCAAGTAGACTTGGATGGCAATTGCATACGGGATATATTGTTTATTTTAACTTAAAAAGGCTTATTCATGGGGTAAATTATACCCTTTTGCGCGGTATATTTCCTCTGGAATGAACACTAAGAATGTGCAAACAAAGCGAGGACCAGGTCTTATCTAATCACATTTTATGAGGGGGCCGTGCTAGCAGGGAAGATTACTTCAGTTTGCGCCTGCAAATTTTAATTATGCCCGGCAACTTCATGGTACGCATGCATTATAAATTATTACTTCTGCTAATCTTTGTTTGGCAGACCTCACTCCTCTCTCCTTTCGGGTTTCTGTTAGGCCTTCCACTGCTTAGCTTGGAGAAGATCATCGCGAAAATTTTCACAGCAAACGGGGAATTCTATGGTATCTTTACATTTTCGTGACTGAATTTTTATATAGCCTCCATCTGTGTGCACCCCAAATGCCTACCAGTCAGGTCACCATTAGCAACCGTATGACGCTAATTATTTGCTTCCTTTAGTATTCACTGCGACTGACAAATATCATCTGAAATTCAATATTGTACTGTGGCCCACCTTAATTTCTTTGTAAAGGCCTTTATGTTGTTCGTACAGACTTGATATACCTAGAATGCTTTGACTTGGTTCCGAGTTCTTTGCCTATTTTACACTATTTAAATAGTGTATGTAAATTTACGCGCAAACTAATTGGCAGTTTACCGTAACAGGCACACTGTTCAATGCCATACATCGCTGTTAAGATATCCGGATTTTGTTTCATGAATCGGATATCTTTTTGTTCCTAATAGCATGTCGATATTGACGCAATATCTCGTCGATATCGACATGTCGAGATAGGTATATCGCCTGGATATCGACTTTGGCCACTTTATCGCCCTGATAGCATTCTACTCGCCCAGGGCTAATCCGGTTGCCCGATCGCGGGTTAGTGTTGCGATTGACTGGATTTTTTCAGTAATCCTAACGGACGCTGTCCACACGGGGACAGTAGGTTGACGCGCATTCTCGGGCGAGTTGAGGGTGTTGTAGCCCGAGGCGATTTAAGTCGCCAGATAGGGGCCCGAATTCCGGGCAAAGTGCGTGCATGCACCCTGCATGCGTGCGTACGCGCAAAGGACCCCCCAGGCGTGACGTGCGAAATGCTTCCCGGGTGAGCATCGAGAAAAGCTCCTATCCTCGAAGAGATCGAGCACTGTCAGCCAGTCAGGTTACTAGCCCTGCCCTAGCCAGCAAGTCAAACGGTCCAGCAAATGTCTAGCCCTGGACGACTAAGTGCTATCAGGGCGATATACCCCTGATATCGACATGTCAAGATTGAGCGACGTAGGCTAGAAGAGGTTATTTTACTATGCAAGGCAGATACATATTTAAAGTAGCCCCTTACTTTGAATATAATGCCACCTATTTTGCTTCCACTACCGTTTGCTGCCGACATGTAACTTGTTGGATCATAAATTAGCCGGTGTCGAGGACTTTGAACCCAAAGCCGAACCTACATAAACCGTAAAGATAAACGAGCGGTATTTTGCAAATTATTTATCAATTACATTTAGTAAATTAGGAAAGTAACAAACAACAATAGCATCTGCGAAAGGAACGGTCCACATTCACAAAGTACAGTCACGTGTTGGTTTAAAATAGACGGTCCGGCTACCTATTCCCAAAGTTAGATATATGTAGAACGTGTACGTACTTGGTTTACCATTCGCTTTAGAAACTATTTGACTTCCTTGTAGCCGTTTGCCTGCCGCGTCCAGGGGGCTCTCTAGACGTTTAATGAAAGAGGCATCCAAATTATCGAGGTCCGCATTCTCCCATCTGTTCCATCTTATGTAGAGTTCTGTGTGGAGTAACTTCAGAAGGATATGTAGTAACTCACCAGTAATCAGTTCGTACAACTTTGAATTGCATAGGGGAACCTTTTTCTTACGGTCCTTGAGGGCGACCTCATCGTCAAACACTGCATAGAATATGCGTTTCACAAAATCGCCAGTATTCCAACTTTGAAGATGGGCGATAGCTGACGCCTGACCAGCATATCTATAGATATAGTTTTGTGTACATCACGTCCAAGCAGCTTCGGACATTCCTGTGTCCCTGGGCGTGTGTTCTTTTGGCAACTAGATAGCGTCAGAGTGAATGAGATCGTCTTATCGTTACGCTTGGATGCGGCAGGTATGGTATCTGCGCAATATGTTCTCTTGCCGTCTGCCGAGATGTCTGCCTTAACATGAAGTTAGTTAAAATGATCAAAATTAACCAGATCTTTGAACAACAAAAGAAATGCAGTTGTCAGTTATAAATTTAGGTCAGCAGAGTCACGCCTGCGCACGCCACGGCAGAGTAAATCGTAATGCGCCCCTCGCGTGACGCACACTACGCGCGACAAAAAAAGGGCGGCTAAGAACGATATGGACGCATATCTCGACAAGCGACTATACAAGTATATCGCGTCGATATCGACATGCTATTAGGGTCCATCTTTCACAAGTTGGTCTGCTATATGGCAGGTATAAATATGCATTCCTGCAGCGGGAAGCTTCCGTTATTGGCCTATAACACGTGCCTGGTCGAAGTATGCAGGCAGGTTTATGTGGAAATGTTGAGTACCGTCAGTTGGTGCAATCCTCAGACAAACCGTTCGACAAATCTCGTGGTATTTTTAAAGTCAGTAAATCTTGCCGGCTAGCGTAACATGGATTTGTTATAAATCAGTCATACCTATCTGGACTTTTCCACGGCACCACACCACACAGGTCCCCTTATTTTTGCAATAGCTACTACTCACTAAGTCTACCCTACTCAAAACCTTATGGTCTTTGGGATACAGAAAATGTTTTGTTGTCATATATGAAGAACTCGGACGCAGTTCAAAATACATTCGCTTAAGCCTCTCATGTCCGCACAAATCCCACCGATCCACCACCTCTTTCGATTAGGTGACCTGCGCAGGAGCAAGCTTCATAAAATCATCCCGAACAGTGCGCAATCCTGTAACAGATAACCAAATCAACTTTCAATGACTACATTTGCTTGGTTGCCGCGGATAAAATTCCACTTTCGTATGGTGGTGAGGATGAGCGCCCTTTTAGTTTATCCGCCCGAGGGACTTCTTACCCACTTTTTAAGTACATCCTTATATGGTGAGAATTATAGGTGGGAAATAAGTCGTCCTTGACAAAAAACGGAAAAAATAAACCTCAGGAAATCAGAACAGGTCAGCCTCAGACTATGTTAACATCTGCCTATATAGAAAGTTGGGCTGAAATCGATGTATAGTTCTGTTTACGGACTTGCAGTCCTACTCATTGCGGTTTATATATAAACAGGCACTATTGATTAGTTTGCCTAGTTTGCACTTTTACCATTTACTTGCATCCCTTCGTCACCCGATCTCAAAGAAAGTTAGAGGAACCTGGGCAACTATCTAGGACTATGGCTGCTTTTACATAGTTCGGGCCCACTAGAATGACCTAGTATACATGCACAGTCTTTCGTGACAATAACGGCATGTGTCTTTGGTCAGTAGGTTATTTTTGAAATTAAGACTTGGTTAGGTAAGGCACTTTTAAGTCGAGAATATCATCGTTTCTACTCCGAGAACAGACAGCACCCGTTATACTCGTATGAGTCTGGACGAAGCACACGTATCATTCGGCTGAGTATTAGTACACCAGGAAATGCCTTGTGCTTGACGATTACTAGTCATGAACGCTTACCCAAACTTGTTATTTTTTTTTATCTAGAAATGGTTCAACAGGCAAACGCTTCTTTGAAACCAAATCCTCTTATGTGCGGAGATGGTCCACCGATTGCGCAGGCTCGTCGAGGCTCAGTCGACTCTCTTTTTAATGCAGACGTCCTCCAATGGCAGAATTATCCCTGTCGCGGCTCTGTTGACTATGTGAAAGCTATGGCAACTGAAAAGCGAGCAGGTACGCATTGGTTCCATACCATCTTCTGACGTGGCCTTTTCCGTCTACGCCGGTGCCACGTTTTGTTCTCCAGGTTCGGATCTGTTCATCTGCGTACACTGAATATTTTATCGAACGAGAGACCGTGATGCTTGTAGCAAGAAATAAGAGATATGAGTTAGCGAAATAAATTAGATCTACTTTTCGAGGGACATGACTTTACGCCCAACGTTCTCCGTTGCATTGCCGCCTTTAGTTCTGGACGATGATAACTAAGGTGTCAAGACACTGCATAAACTGATTGAAAGTCAAAAAACGAAATACGTCGAAGTTCGCTGATATAATATTCGTTAAACACTCGACAGACTCATTGATTACCGCTTGGCCACAATTTTAGGTAAAAGGCAATAGTAAGGGGCGTGTATTCTGTGGTGATGCCTGCACCATAGTGTCTGTTAGAGCTTTCAACTCATGGTCCGCTTAAGGCCTCAGTGAGCGTCCCCGTAAGGCCGATTTGGACGAGAAATGCCATATGTGAACCATTTAGCGCCAGTTTTGTGAGTTAACTGGGTGGTTGCGGAGTCTTCCAGCGCCTATGATTGCCTATTCCCGTGGCTTAATGCGCATATGTTCAACCTGCTGAAAACCCTAGTAACGCGACTTTTGGCGCGACGTGTGTGTGAGGAGTGAAGGCGTGCATTTATGCTTGTGTTGTTACGAAGTGCAACGACCGCTAAAATGCTAACCGGAATATTCCTTTTATTTTCAAAATACCTCAGTAGGCCCCAAATTCCCTTTAATACATCCGGAGCCGACTATATGCTAAGTTGCGGCTTGTTACAGGGGAGGTAGTAATCCCATCATGTGAACTTAAAAAAGTTGGCATTGGTTCGCAAAATACTACAGTAGTATAGGTAGCAGGTTACTCACTGAATAAAACGCACGTGTTTTGCGCAAATGTTTCGTACATCACATATCTCATTTATGCAGGACCCAATACCAGTTGTAAAACACTAGCGTGCATCTCACTCAGTGACATTATTATTGCAGAATTTCTGTTTTTCCTATCTGATGCGTGCCAACGAGAAATCCGAAGTCATGGCTAACATTGTGACAAAAACGTCGGAACACCATCCTCATCCTTCCTTTTCGGATTCAATTTCGATACCTATCGACCAGGCGTTTACATAGTCTAACCCCAACTCTAAACGTTACTCAGACGACAGACCCAATGTGCACTCTTAAACCTAACACTAAAAAACCCGCGGCATCTTAAATCTAACCCTGACCCCGCAAAAAGCCAGACAACTTCTAGTGGTATGTGGAAAAGTGTTTCCTGACGCGTCTCTCAAGTAGCCCACAAGTGAGTCTTTCGGGGTGCCGATGACACACGGTAAATTCTACGGTCACGCGGCTGACCATCCTGTAACTACGTTCGGAGTATGTAGGCGTTTGTTTGGGCCCTCCAAGTCCCCTGGCCAAGGTTGGATCCCACAGTTTCCGCCACCAACGGGTCACCAATGCACCCCACTGAGACGTTACTCCCGTTCTTGACTTCAAAGTTAGATTATAATTGCCCCCATTGGCATTTTAGGTAACTCTTCGACCCTCTCTCTTATCTCCCATGTGATTAGTTCTCTTCATCCTCTACTGTTACGACGTGTTGATTAAACAAGCACGGTGATGAATGATCGAAAACATGTTTCTACGCTGTTTGACTTCTTTAAATTCCTTAACCTACCGAACTTATCATGTTTGCAACTTAGATGGCTCTGGCCAACTCAACTTTTCGCCAAACCTGTACGCCCTCACAGTCTGAGGTTTTATTCATCTAGCTGTGTTCTTTTCTTGGTTACTTTCTGGGAAAATTTCAAAAGAAGCCTCACCTTTAATAGTGTATCCTGGCTCCTGTTCTGTTATCGACACGTTTCAGTCTTGGGAGTGTTATTTTTGGCACCAGTTGGCCTTTAATTTGAAACCAGCTCATAGCATCATGTAAGACTCTTGTTATCTCTACGGGAATTTCTTGTTATTCCATCTGTGTCTCCGAGCTTGTAACTGAGAAAAGGGGATTTAACTACGATATTCAAACTGACTCTGTGGAATCATAATTGAGCCAGGACATGTGCTTCTGCGCAGGCCCCGATGTCTTGTCCATTACGAACACAGTTAATTATAAATGTTTGCAATTTCCGGACTAAATACCGACAACTTGCGTCTTAGGGTCCGCCGAAAACTACAAACTGTGTCCTCACGGCTAATTGCTGATGATAACAATATTGGTAGTTAAATCGTTTGCCAAAAGTCCTTCCAAAGGCAAATTTACGTTCTTAAACGATTACTCCCTAAACAGCTGGACGTATCAAAGGATACTTTATTATTCATTGCTATTTTCTTTATAGCCAAACCGAAAAATTTCATTCGCGAGAACATCCGACGTCTTCGAGAAAGGCAAACGGCCAATACGCGTCGTACGTCCTCTGTTCGAGGGGCACACTTACGGGATACCGAACAAGACTTCCAGACAAATGCTCGTATGCACTTACTCCAGCAGTACATTGACAGCATGCCCACCAAATCGGGGAATTCAGTCCTCGGAAACTGCGGCGATCGGAAGAACGAGGGCGCTTCTGTGGAGCACAGAGATGCCGGCGTCGAGACAGTGGCCTGCGAACCACAAATATTGACTGTGAGTTGGAACGCCCTAACCAGTACCATACGCACTCCTCTGTGAAAATGTCTTTCGAGGGTAACCTATAGTCACATATTTCGTACTACGCACTCCCTCAGCCCAGCCAGGACGACGTAGCTGCTACTACCCTTGAGCGACAGCGCGGTAGTTTTGTTGGCCAAATACAGTAAGGAGAGGTCTCTCGGCACAGTACGAAATTCGGTCTAGTCTCGGGTCTTTCCCTATCTGAGTTAACTGTGGCTAATTAACGATAAATAAACCAGACACGGCCACTACTTCTGCGGTGACTTATCAGTAGTATTTCCTGGACCCCTCCTCCTTGAATTTGATGTTATTGCTGCCAACCATTATATAAATAGCTGTGTGTTGAGGCTTGAGTAACCGTTAAGTGAATCACGCCCAGCAGATCGGCAATTCATATTGGACCATTACATGACTTTGGCAAGTGAGTATGCGTCGCACGCAGCCTGTTGGGTCATGTATGATAACTGAGTAGCTATTTTGCCCGTTTAGTAAGTACACGACCAAAGCCTCCTACTTTACGAAGGAATGCTGTGCGTTGGCAACGAGACGCAGTACGGTTTTGGATGTTTGCCGTTCTAAATCTGGACGTGCCATCGATAAGGTGTGCACTTCGGATCGTCAACCGAGAAATGAACGTTTGCCGCATTTGCTTCATTTACTTTACACTTACTTCATTACTTGATGCCAGAAAAGGTAAATGGCGCCCTTTAGACAGCACGATTGCTTTACTACTGTAGGTGGGCTACCTCATGAAATGTCAACCGAAATTCCGAAATTCATTTTCGTTTCGAAAAGATTAATTAAGTAATGTTGTAAAACTGATCATCCTACAGCATACTTCTATAATAATTCAGTTACCACATGATGTCGGCTTTCGATCGAACTTCTTTCCGGCTGCATTTCACTCTGTAAACAGTGACTACTTAAGTAACATGATTTTTTTATCATTGATTTACGATGCCCTTAAAAAACATGCATAAAAAATTCTTTTGTTTATTTGGTAGAAAATTACGTTTTCTTTCCCATTTTTATACTCGAAGAAGGGATATAATTCGCTTTTCAAAAACTTTTCCAATTCCCGAATAATCCTGAACCCGGCCTGCTGTTTCACTCACATTCACAGTTTCCAAACTACAAGCCGTATATTTTTCGCGTATGGAAAACCATAACTTCCTCTACGGCATTAGGAGGAGACTATGTGGAGTTCTTAAAATTTAGCAGTGGATTCGATCCATATTGTTAACTTTGCAAGCCACATTGGTAGATGCAGAGACATAACGTTTTATGAACAGTCATTTCGCGGTATTAAAGAATCCCACAGTGAGAAACTTTTTAAAAACCGAATCTTATCCCTTCTTCGGGCATAAACTTGGAAGAAGGCGTAATACTCTACTGAAATAACAAAAGAATGAATGGATATTCGTATGCATTTTTTTCATGAAATATAATAGAATTTTTAAGGGCATCGAAAACCAATGATAAAAAATCATGTTACTTAAGTAGTCACTTTTACAGAGTGTAGTCTTTGTATGCAGCCAGAAATAAGTTCGTTCAAAAGCCAGCACCCTGAGGTAACTGAATTATTATAGAATTATGCTACAGAATGATTAGCTTGAAAGCCCTACTTTATCAATCTTTTCGAAACGAAAACGCATGTCGGAATTTCGGTTGACATTTCATGAGTTAGCCAACCTACTGTACATGCAAATCGTCAATATTTAGGTCCCTGATCGACAAATTCATTGCGATCCAGGGGTTTCTGTCATTATTTTAGCTAGTTTTAAACCTAACTGTCTCGTAGTACCAGTTCTATACGCTTCGCAAGTGCCAACTCACGTGGCCATTTCTAAGGTTTGAGAGTTTGCCGGTACTTGTTCATGCTTTGTCGGCTGCGCAACTCATGTCGTTCTCCAGTAAGTGACGTCTCCCTCGCCCGGCTCACTTTGCCTGACACCAAGTTTAAACATAAACCTGAATTTAGGTGACGATCTTACGAGAAGTACATGTTATTATCTCCGTACTGATCAGGACTGTGGAAGATGAACTACTTAGTAGTTGCACATGTAATCCTCATTAGTGTAGCGCAGCCCCTCAAAGTTGTCCTCAACCGGCCATACCTCAACCCCAAGCAGCACGATCTGAGGTTTGAAGACGAATTAGTTGATCATCTGAGTTGGACGTCTTGCCACCGAGCGTCGAGCCTAGTTTCTTTGGGCTACATTTCGTGATCCTTAGTTTTATTTATTCAGTTGTCCGCAAGGGCTATGGCAAACTGCTGTCTGACATATTAGGTATTAAGAGTTTATGACTCGGATGCGCAGCAGTCCAACGGATCCAGACTAAAATCCTCGGTGCGTGAGTACGGAACATTCGGCTTTCTTGCTCCCTTCTTGGTCTTCTTCATCATAATCAATTGTATTGGAAGCCTGAGCGCTTTTAAGTAACTCACTCATTGGATCAACCGGGTTTTTTCGAAGTTGCATTTCATTCGACACTGATTCCTAAGTGTCGCCAGTTCGACCGTCGCCAATGACGATGTCCACCTTGTGCCCCACAGGATGATGGGTGCAAAACAGTGAGGCGCAAGAGTTACTTTATGCGGGTAGCAGACTAACGGAACGTCTACCCCGCGCATCTGGGCTTGGTGTCCAGGCTGTGTTGGTCGTAGGGACTGACAAGGTTAAAAGGCCCGTCTGCGCGTACCACGCACGACCTGGTCCCACGAACATGCACCAGGTTTGCATGAATAAGTGGGGGCGACTCGACTATGACGTGAATAAGAGTTGTGTTGTTAGTACGGTAAAATGCTTACACAATGATATACTACGGCCCGCCTGTTGGTGGTTTGTGAATATTACGCGGTTATTCCGCAGTAGCTGGTTGATTTCAGCTGAAATATTCACATCAAATTTCGGACCGTGCCCGAAATGGTCTGTTCTGAGAGATTTACTCCAAGTTCGCGCTTTAATTTCCTCGAAAATTAAACAAGGCAATGTGAAGAAGAGTGCCGTCGCTTCCATGTAAGGAAGGAGCCATTTGGTCTGACTCACAGTCCTCAGTTCGATCGTCCCGCGTACTCTCACAGTACTGATCGCGAGGACCAAATCGTCCCGTCGGTTGGCAGCCATCCGAGCGCGTCAGCTTTATTATGGTGAGGAATGCGCTGAAGTGCTCTGGGGTTGGAGTCTCCAACCTCACTCTCTCTCTCTTTCCCCTCACGCCTGCACTAGTTTGCCGTCTGCTCCAGTCAGCCACCTGATGCGGGGATGGAACGCAAGTGGCTGACACGTCGTGAGCCTGTGTCTGACCGGGGCACTATACCCCATGGCATTTGTCATGGGATGTGCGGACCTTGCGCAGCCCGATTTACGCGCGCCGTATCCTCGTCCTTCTGACCCCCTGTTGGGGTGTTGTTGTTGGTGAAAAATCATGGTCATGTGTATGGTGTGGTGGTATGCCTAGGTGCGGGTCCAGCCGCGCCATCCGCCTGCGTCCCCCCCCTGCCTCCGGTCTTCTTGACTCTGTCTTGACACCGAACCTAGGTGATGAGTGGGGGAGGAGATAGTGCGGTAGATGCTGCACAAGTCTGCTATCACTTCAAACTAGTTCACGCGTAAGTCACCGTGACTGTTGCACCTTGCTGTGTAGCATACGGTGGACATCGTCGGAATCGACGGTCAAACTGTCATGTTGGTTAGACGCATCTCTCGCATGACCTGTTATGGTAGCCAGATGCGCGAGTATACCGTGCTCAACGCATCCTCGGGGAATTCCACTGTTGGTAACTAGAAGTTATCAGTAATTGACCTTTTTGATGCAGGATACCACAATCCTGATAAACTGGCCTCGTAAACTGGTTTCTTGTTTGTACCGCTCGCTCTTTATTTTCTCTTCAGGCAAATTCTCTAGTCGTTCTGTCGTATCCACCACCACTATTTAACACATGGGAGTGAAGCATTTTCGTGGAGTTGTTTCATGTTTACTGGCTTTTATGGATTCTACCCGATGAACTTTTGTTTGCCTCTTTTAGTCATCTGTTCGTCCATTGCACGCCAGTAATCCGAATGAAGTGACTTCCGCCGAAACACAGACAACCGATCAACCGACACAACCCTTAGAATCAGTAGTCAGATCAGAAGAGCCTGCTTGCAACAAGAGCCTCACTGGAGTCTCCCCACTACCCCTTTCCACCAATCACGTAGCCCGTGCGCCAACCGCCACTCGACCAAAGACGACGGAGCCTCTCCGAAAATCTTCTACCTTCCTGCGCGCTCACGAGAAAACTGCGCTGCTGGATGATGTTTTGTTATCACTCAGTGCGGTCCCCATCAAGCCAATTCCCAAAGAGCCACGGCCGGAGAAACTCACCGTTCCTAGGGCAAATTCGGCGCGAGAGGTACGGCGAGAACTATGCCGGACTGTTTGTTACCAGCTGCTGCCTAAAGTAGCCGCTCGCGTTTGACTAATGTTGACAGCTTATACATTGTTTCAGGTCCGCCTTATTCGTCGAAATGTGAATTTTGTTCGCGCAAACGCCAATGCCATGTCCTACAGTCCGACCCGACGGGCTGTTAGCCATGAGTCTTTAGTGATTGCCAGGGGTTGTGACAATCATTCCGCCGTCAACCGGCGGCTTCCCCTCGGTAAAGTTCCAGCATAGTAAGTTTTTTTGTAACTTTCCATGGATGGGTTATTTGCTGTGATTTAACTTCAGTCGATAGTAGGCTTTATTGGTCTGCCGACATGCAAATGCAACTACACGGTCTTTACCATTTAGATTTTTTAAATTTGTGAATGTGTCTTAGGAACACTGTGTTTTTGGGGGCTTCTCCCTGTGTGTTTGACCGGTCCCTTGATTAAAACATCTCTATTATTGCCCTTAGCGCCGCCACTGATCAGATTCATCAACCGGCTGTCTTTCTGGAACACCATGAGTGTCACACGTGCTCAGATGTCATAAAAGTCCTACAACGACGACTTCCCATCTGGGGTACGAAGATTCGACACATTGAATGTCGTAAGACCTGCGCCGGACTCCAGCAACTTAAAGATTGCACGAGGATATGGTCAGAAACGGATGAATTCCAACCTTGACCGCAATGATCCTTTCCTAGAGACTTCAGGAAATCGCTAAACTAGTAACACTACCTGGAAAGAGAAACTGTATCAATTTGCCAGTAATTAGATCAAGGGCGTCCGTACTGAAGGTAACGGGTCGTTAGTTGTCCAGTATGAGGCTTCGCAAAAGCTTTCACTGAACCGAAACAGGAATCAGATTGGCTCGCCGAATACATATGATCGGACAGCCATGAGTTCGTGCAAGTCTGTAACTACTGCCATACATATGTGTTTGTAGTGTATAACATAAATGTAGATAGTCATGCTGCGTTAGCCATTGGGCGCAATGTTACCAACTGTTGTTTGTCAGATTCGGCGGTCGGCCGGTGCATGTGGGAGAGAAGAGAGAGAGCCCGAAATTGGGGAATTTATTGTCTGGGCACATCAGCGCATCCCTAACTAAAGTAAATTTGACGTGTTTAAATCTATCGCGACTTGCTATTAGTCATGACTTAGAAGTTTGCCAACCGACGGGATAACTCTGTCCTTCTCGGTACCGACAGGCTGCCCGCAATGGGTGCTTCTCAATGCGATCTTTACAGCATCCTCACCGGGCCGCCCTTAGCATAGCCCAGTGGGTGTAGTGGGGCCAGGATGTGTGTGGCACGCGTACACGAATTGTTTGGCTTTGTCGGTCAGTTCGGCCCGAGCTTACCTTGGGTCTTGTTGACATTGTCCCGCCAGCGGAGCAAGGTGGGTGAAGGAGGAGAGAGTGCGGTTGGCGCTGCGCAAGTCTACCTCACCACAATCTTACCTACGCGTAACTCATCGGCGCTGTCCCCGTCCCGTGGGACACGCGGTGGATGTAGTCACTTGCGACGGCAGAACTGTCGCTGTGAGACGTGTGCACCTAGCTCTCAACTTGCAGTGTCGAACACGAACCCCGCACCAACGGTACCATGTGCATGTACGTGCGCAACAAGACTGTTTCCATTTGGGCGTGGGTTATACTCCTCTACTTTCTTCATTAACCTTAGCAGAATTCGTCCGTTTCGAGAACAAATAGCATGCACCAATACTCATGGAATGCTGCGTTAGACCAATGAGATTGAAGGAAGGAACACAGTCCTTCTGTTTTGCTCCAAGGGAAACTAGGGCAAGTTCGAATTTCAGGTGTGACCGGAGATTGGGTTTGGGAGGTGTACGACCGCCGTCGAAAGGTAAGGTGGCCAAGGTCGTCCTGGTCTCTCTTTAGTTGTAATGCCCTCTTCTTTAGGACGGGAGTAGCAACTCGATAACTAAGCTGAAGTGTCAACACTGAAAGTTTTCAAGTGTGACTATTGTAGTCCCAACCGATACGCACAGACTGTATTCACTAAACCTTCGTTTTTCCTTGCTTGTACTTTGGCAGCATTGTTCGCCGTAGACGTGAGGCGGAAATGGCCAAACAAGAACAACTTTCTCAGACGGCAAACGCGGTCCCAGAGGGCTGTCGGCTTATGTCGGAAGATGAACGATTGGACACTTTGAAACTCCTCCAGGATGGTCAGTGAGACACATTCGTTGTAGTTAACTTAAATCTGCCCCTGTGCATTTTGGTGTCTCTAGTAGTCAGGTCGGCTTGACTGTAATTTCGGGATGAGAGGGTGCCGTGGTTTTTCATTCTTATCGTCTGATTCATGGCACCTTTCTAATCACATGTTCCTAGGCCGTACACAAATAACGGAGTACGCGCCTCATCCACTGGAACGTCGACGTATGTGTATGGAGTCTAGGCCCAAGTACAGACAGCATTGCAATTCTTCGTTTGGAAGGTGCCAACCGTGATGCGTTTATAAATGTATTCGCCTCCAGCGATGTAAACTGGGTCCCAACCTATTCTTATTGCGACCACACATTTATCCCGCACTTCGGCCTGGCTGCTCACTTGCGAATGCATCGCACAGTGCAACAGTACCAACATATATTCTTCGCATCCGTTTTCACTGTTCATGCACATTCCTCCACTGCATGGGCCTATTCGGTCACGCGCGTATACACGGCAGCAGAATTCACCGTAGCATCGATACACCTTACACACCCACCATACCTAGCCAGATCAACACCCCACTGCTCCTCAGCTTGCTGTCTGGCGTGCTACCCCACCCGTAAAACCCCCCAGTTACCACCATTTCCGTATGGCCCGATCCACAGTTAATTAGGTCTTTCAACCCACCGTTGCTCGCGTCCTAACCACAACCCTAGCCCAAAGCCCTTCCCTGGGATTTATCGTAAGGGTTGAGGGATTACTTAAAACCGCGCCCTACCAAGGGCTTTTCCGCCTGGTTCTCCTTCTGATGTAGGCCCTTATATGCACATGCTTTTCAGCCAGCGTCACCATGATGCAAGCCGGAGGTGTGGCTTCAAAGACGACAAACATACTTGGTAGACTCGTAATCTTACACGTGCAGCAGCTAAGAACATTTGTTGTCGTCCTCCTTCAAGGAATGATGCAAGCCTTTTACCGGATTATGACTAGGCTTAGGGTTAGGTCATGCTATTGGCTTATGCTTTCGAAGTAGCTTTTTTACGACCAATTTTCCCCAAAAAATGGGATACAGGCGGACAATTTTCAGGGGGTGGCGAGGGGTGTATCTAACTTTCAACACTTTTAAGATCAAAGGTACATTAATGAGTTCATTTTCCTACTGGGGTTCAGACTTGTATTACGGGTGGTAGCGGATATAATCCATTCGGAGGTAGATTATTGTTGCAATAGCTCGTTCCCAAAACACCATCCAAGGCTGCCATATTGAGAGTAGCGTGCATGGACGATTGGGTTAATTTGGCCAGACAAATTCCGGGTGGAAGTCACGAATGACGATTTGGTTACTAGAGCTCACAGATTGCTGCAAGGCGTGAGAAAGAGCCCCGGTCTAGGGAAAAAATTAATATTGCTACTAACGGTGCGATTGTGGGGTAGAAAGTTGGGACTGTTCCGATAAAAACGGACGGGTGGACATCATCGGAGGAGAGGCGGTGGTAACACCACCACCACCACCACCACCACCACCACCACCACCACCACCACCACCACCACCACCACCACCACCACCACCACCACTGTCGTTAGCAAGGAGAATGGATTGAGTTGTTCAGATCTGCTGTCGCGGATCCTCACGTGTTGAAAAGTACAGTCCGTAACATCCTCGAGACCGACTAGATCAGACATCGCAATGTCTGAGTTGTTCGTGCCCGAACAAGTACTCGGAAGGAAGTTTTGGGGTCGACGGAGTGACCAGTATCAAGTAGGTGTTTCATAATGGAGGAACGCGCGATCTTATTTTCTTGTCTTAGGAGCCACTTGGGCAGGTGCTCAATAGACCTGGCTGCCAACTGCCTTTGCGTTCGCCCAATGTACTTGCATCCGCAAGTGCGTGTGAATTCATAAACACACTTTGAAGTGGCGTGCATTGGCAGGGCATCCTTTGCCCGTGGAATCGGAAGTGGCTTAGTAGGACTGCATAATACTAGTTCGGCTGCATTGTATGTCCTTTCAATGGTGGAACGTAGCCGTCGTTTGATAGTATTTAAGATATTGTCGCCCTTAAAGGGCAAAGATATAAAGAAGGGCTTTTTCGGAGCTAAATGTTCTGTCAATTTTGGCCGTGTAGAGTTGCTGTATTTGTGGATGAACCGTGCGGGATGTCCCCACTTAAGTAGAGCTTCTCTGAGGCGTGCAAATTCTGCATCCAGTGTATCATTGGAGCAAATGTTCCTAGCCCTTTGGAAAAGAGTACTTGTTCGGGCACGAACAACTCGGACATTGCGTTACCTGGAGGCGGCCTATATACGACGAGATCAGACATCATCGTAGTCATACCAAGACCAAAAATGACCAGTTGCAGGTCTGGAGATGACGGCTTGAAACTCACACGTTTACCCAGACCCGGAACATAAGGGCTACTGCTTATCCAGTTCGTGTACCATTGATTATTTTTTTAACCTTTTAATGCACTTTTGTCATTTCTGTGGGAGACATTGTACAGGAAGTCTTATTACAGCCCTAAGATCTCTCTTGTTTTCATTTTCGAAAACGGGTTAGCTCATGCTGAAGTCGTTGAAGAGCTTGGACGTCTGCCTATTCGAATGGACACTGTGAGGGTTCGTAGACGTCGAAGTGATCTGGAAAGCAAGTTGGCTGAGCTAGAATCCACAATCAGTATTTTCAAAAAACCCCGGGTGTATGTTTGGCTCGATTAATCGCCTTTTCTTCGTCCACCTCTCCCCCACCCCCACAATCACCTTGCTTTTATGAGAATCCATGCATTTTGTCATCGAAGTGATTACGCAATAAACCACAGTTTGTGCCCAGACTTTTTTCAGTCTCCAACGTTCGACTCTTCTGATTAGACAATGCACTCTCATCAGGGTCTTGGGATGCTGACCAAGATCAGATCCTCCGCGTGCACCTGTGGAGTCTTTTAGAAAACCGTGTACGAAAACAGGAACAACTTTGCATAAATTGACCAGTCCTGATGGGGACTTCGAATACGCAGCCTAATCACTGAGTACTAGCCGTGTGATCAGCACGTTTCAAGTGAACGGCACTCAGCTCAAATTAGTCCATATAATTAGCACTGGGTAAAACTAGACCCCTCGTTCCTGAGTCCAAAGTCTGGAACTTCGGTTTTCCAAGTAACCAACTGACATGTCCAGGAAAAAATGAACGTCGGAATGGTACGATTCGTCGGGGAGGGACGCCAAGCCTAGGGATTTCTGTACGTCGCCATAATACCATCTTTGTTGGTAATTAATCCACTCCTGTTTGGTCTATTCCCACCCTTCGTCTGGCAAGGCTCGATTCCGGAAATGCATCATGGTAGAATGTGTGGTTTGCGATCGTCTAGGAGTGTCGTAGCCTTGATTCGTTAGTGCAACCGGTGCAGATGGGCAGTGAACTGGCCATTGTATGGCAGTGGTAGAGGGGCGCGCACCGAATCATGTTTCGGGACTCATTCGTTCCGTTGCGTCTTGGGGCTCACTCCAGGGCCTTGTAGGTAGTCGCACAGTGACGCGCAATATGGGCAGAATAGCGTTACCGTCAAAGACCCGAGGGACTGCAATGGCCATTTCCGGCTCGTTAGCCGTCATCAGCCAACTGTACCCAACCCCGAGGTGTGCAACCCCCGAGGTCCGAACTCGCGACCTGCTGGTTAGAAGTCCAACGTCCCAGCCACTGAGTCACAGTGGGCAGTGGACCGACCAGTATATGTTGACAGAACTAGCAACATAAGTCAGGACGCCTTGTACCTTTGCCAACGGGGAGCTGCTTTTATGCCATAGAATGAGGAAGGCAAGTCAGTACTGGACGTGATTTCTCGAGGTATCAGCCGCCGAATCTGGCACGATAAGGATTCTAGGAGACGCTGACATCAGTCGAGCTAACGCAAATTACATTGGAGCCGACTCAGCGCAGTGCTGTTGGTGATGGTTGATCCCCTGAGAGTATTCTCGACGACGGGTTGGGTGCTCGAAATGGTCTATTTTCTTGAAGTTGAACGGCTTCTACTTTTTCCTATTTCTTTCGAGAGCTGTTGTCCCACCGCGGGAGGCGTCTGTCGCCCCAATTCAGTCATTTTCTGCCTCATTGCAGCGGTGACCCATTAATTGGGCATGTCTGAGACTTACGTACAACCTAGGTTGAACGGACAGTCTTGGTTAAAAGTCCGGCCCTTGTATTCACTTCACAGGCTCTATGCTGAGGGGATTTTCGGGGTGAGACATCTGGGTTCCTTGTCTTTGGACAGACTTCAACGAGAGACCGAGTCTCTGTGCATGTGGTCGCTTGTCGAAGAGCAACATTTTCTTGGCCGTAGGATGGTGGAAGTGCTTGCAATTTTGAATTGACATGGATGGCGAAAAAATTCGGTTGCCAGCGTGCTTAGCAAATGGGAGCGTGACGTCTCTGAGAGTTTGTTTGGTCCCTGACCTTTCAAACAACAGTTTCGGTTGTCCATCAACAATGCTGGACGCTCCAACTTTGGGTTTCCAACTTGAAGTTCCCGTCTGATACTCACTGATTCGTCTACTTAGTCCATATCGAGGATTAGACCTTACGCTCTGATCTTGCAAGTGGGTACGCGAGAAACGTCTGACCAGAAGATAGACTAATTGAACTAGTAGACGGATTGGGCGATAGCCTTTGATGTCTGGTTAAGGTCCGTCCCGTTTCATTTTGGGCTTCAACATGGCAACCATCAGAAATGACGTAGGTAAATTTATGTTTGGTTGCGTTCACTTGCGCGATGACCAGAGGGAAAGGTAGAAATACAAAGATGCACGAATTTCAGACGGTTCTGTTGAACGAAACTGTATTATAACGGTCGCTCATGCGCCACATTAAAGGGCAGTCGCCTGCTTATAGCAGCACGCCTTCACTAACAGATACTATTTTCATATTTGGCAATTTTCTAGGAGAGAATCAGCGTCCTGCTTCGAGCACCTTAAGGTCGAAGGATTTAATCTACAGTCTAATTCGTAACTAAATTTCCCTTATTTACCAACCCGTATTAATTTGTTAGAGTCGAGTTCAGAGCGGATGCATTAAGAGGCGAACTTGATAACTTTGCTGAAGTTAAGACCTCCTGTTTGCATCAAACTGCAAAATAATTAACTTGCACAAGGGATATTGTGCGTGTCGATATTTCGGTGAAATCTGCTGTTGTTGCTGCGCGTGTGGTCGGATAGGTCCATGCGATGGTTGAATGTGTGTGGACAGTACAAATAATCGAGATGGATGTGGCGAGTGTATGTCAGGACTCCTGGCCGGTCGCGTTGCGGCTGATCCGCAAGTGGCCGACCTTCCCGATGCGTTAGTTGAACGTTGAGACAGGTCTTGTTCGACCTCACCCTGTTGGTGGTTGGGGCGTTGGCGGGGATTGTAGTAGTTTACAGGCGCCTAGGGCGTTCTTACCGTTAGTAGAGTTTGGGGAGGTGATAGTCGATGTCGCCGTAGTCGCGGAGTTGTGACAGGGATGATAGAGGATGGCGGGTTAAACGACACCGACTGAGGCGTCGAAGTGTCATGAGTGTGATCATCGGGGGTAGCGGTGATGTTGGTTGCTGTGGTGGGGGTTGGTTCAAGGTTTTCAATGGAGGCATGGGTGCTTGCTGCTTGCAGACCACTCTTTTGGCTTGGACAGCGGAGATTTGGCTGGCCTCGTAGACTGCTGCTCGAGTTCTCGCCGCTCATTCCAGTCTGGTCGGTCCTGGACGAGGTCCGTCCAGATCTTCGGGTTAATTTGTAACTGATTAAGAAAGGTTTTCAGGGCGTCCTTGTAGCACTGTTTTTCCTCGTCTACAAGCACCCTTATTGACATCGCCGTAGAAAATCCGCTTGGATACGCTCTCATCAGCCATCCTTACTCGGTGGCCGCTCTGTCGCAGCTATAGCTGTCCCTGCATGTTACAATGCTGAGAATTCCGGTCAGGTGTAAGGCGTCCGTGACCGGGATCGTAACCTGCCTCCTCCGGCGACAGCTGAAGTGAAAATGCTCGAGTTCTTGGCTTGATTGTCATAAACGGTCCATTCACCCCCTCCCCCAATAGTAAAGTTGTTAGAACTGCCGCCCTGTGCATTTTGAGCTTTGTGTTACTTTGAACTCCATGGAGGTTTCAGACGGAGGCCTGCAGCCGACTGGAAGCTCGCATGCCTCTGGAGATCCATGGGGCCACTTCGCTGTCAATTTTGATGTTGCGAGAGAGTGTACTGCTTGAGAAGACGAAATTTTTACAGTTGTGAGCGGCGTGCCGTTGACAGTGATGTGAGGGATGTTTTATTCAGTATCTAATGACGGCTCGGGCAGGACCACCGTTTTGTCCGTGTTGATGGCCAGCCCAAATTTTTGTACAGCCGGAGGGCAAGAGATTCATGCACCGTGGCATATCTGAACCTGCTAGGGAGCGGAGCACGCAGTCATCCGCGAAGAGTAAGTGGTGGACAGCAGTAGTGTATAGACGCGTTGGGACCTGCATGCCTCAAGTGTTGAGAAGCTGACAATGGGTGCTGATGACGATGTTGATACATTGTCGCTCATCACGGTAGGCGTCCGACAGCATGGCAGTTAATATAATACTGAAGAAAATGGACGCGAGTAAGCAGCTTTGTTTAACCTCCCTGGCCACTGCGAAGGCTTCTGAGACAGCCCATTTTCCGTGACATGCTTGATCATCCAGTCGTGCAGCTGATGCATTATGTGTATGCGTCGCTTAAGACAGTTGGATTTATGAATGCCTTCCAGAGTCCGTAGCGATTCATCATGTCGTAGGTCTTCGTTAGGTCCACGACGGCAGTGTAGATGCGTTTCCGCCTCCCCAGGCACGTCTTACAGTGGGCAGAGAAGATCGCACCACTGGTGCCGCGATTCCTTTGGAATACACACTAACTTTTCCGGAGGATTTCGCTTTCAAAGTGAGGATTCAGGCGGTTAAGGAGGACGCGGGAGAATGTTTTACTGTTGTGTTGAGGAGGGGACTGTCTTGATGTTTGCGTCAGAGTTGCCGGTTCCATATCCGCTTTTAGGGATGGACAATTGTCGCGCCCTCGAAATTCAAGGAAACTTGCCCATGGCACCACATCTCCTAGAACGCTGTTGCAAGATTGTCCATCAACCGAGGGCCGCCGAGATCGCCGACTTCAACCGGCATTGCGTTGGATCCGGGTGTTTTCACGTTGGGCATCTGGCACAGGCCCTGATGATTTCTGGATTTATTTCAAGGATTTATTCTGCCTTGTTGGCCAATCAGACGTCTTGCATCTTTCCCAGCCGTTTTTTCACCTGGAGAGGACATCTGAAGAAGACCACACTGTTAGCGTCAGTTCTACGTTTGACGTAAGCTTTTTGCATTTCGTTCGGCTTGGCCGGCGGACTGCGGATTGAAGGGCGCTTTTAGGTTATCTTCTCTGGCGTCGAAGGCGGAAAGTGTTGGTTAGGTGAAGATGGTGTTCCGCCCAGATCCGCAGGAGGAGGGGGCCGTGGTCGTTGCATCCACCAATTCCGTGGGGATCCGCTACTTCCCTCCAGGCAGTGTGGTTTGTCCCAACAGACTGCGGATCTCTTTGTCATTGTCATCAAACCAATCCTGGTGATGACAGCCTGTGTGACCGGGAACATGCAGGGTGGTGGAATAAATGGAAATCCGCAGACGGTTCCACTGTGTCTCTGTGGCGGATTTGCCTCCCAGAGTCCGCAGTTCTTACGGGCGCCGAGCCACTTGATTAATGAAATCTAAGCGGACAAGTTTTAAGAGGAGTAGTTGACTTATCTAGTGATCGGTTACTTTACGGTATCCTGCAAGGTCTCAGTCGAAGTCTCATTTTGGGGTTGAATAGGCGATGAGTAGCCTAGTCGTTGGAGATGCTTATCGGTTTGGTCACCGGCACATTCTGTTGATTTCGTCCTCGGACGAAACCGTAGTACAGCAGCGGCCAGTGGCGAGATTGAAGTTGCCTTCTCTCGCGTCTGAAGGCAGAAGCTTTTGGTCAGGAGGAGGATGGGGAGGCCGTTATTCTTGCAGTCGCCGATTCGATGCGGAAGCATTAAGCGCCACCAGGCAGCGTAGTCTGTCCCGACTCGGCCATTGAAGTAACCAAGGACAACCAACTGGCCATCTTGGCCACAGACGTCAGGACTTACAGGTCCTCGTAGCTTTTGTTTTTCAACTCGTCTGGGCTGTTCACTGAGAACGTAGGCGCTGATGACTGTGGTGGTGGCGAATCGTGCACCCTGAAGAGGCAGACACAGCGACCTGATCCGGTTATTGACGCCCTGCGGTATAGGTGGCAATCATCCTACTTTGCCGTCCAGATACGGAACGGGAAGGTCATTGCGCTTGTTGATTGTCTGAGGACCGGAAAACCATCACTCGGGCAGTTTGCGGCTCACGCGGTTGTCACCTCGAACAAGAATTTCTGCTTCGTCAAACTTACAGTAGATGTGCTAACTTATGAAATGTCAACCAAAATTTCGAAATGGGTTCTCGTTTCGAAAAGATAAATTAAGTAGTGTTGTAAACCTGATCATGATTCAGCAGAAATCTATAATGATTCGATTGAGGATCCGAAACTTCAGGCGAATAAAGCTCTTGTTCCAACGATCATATATCCTTCTGCGCGACTACTTCCTGCAATTCACCTCTTCGCTTCTATTAAAAACTTATGAGACTGCCTTTCTTCTTTCCGTAGGACAGTTTCTAGTGATAGGGAGAAAGAGGAGTGAGAATAGGGGCATAAGTACCGGGCGTGGGAATACGCAACCCTGGATGCTCTCATCTAGTTTAGTTCGCCTACTGAGGCCGGTATCAGGGTGTGGTCATTGTGTAGAGCCTACCTTCGGGGAGCCCCAGATGGAAGTTAGGTGTCATTCGGGAATTGTGTGATGTAGCGACCACGTGCACGAGGGAAATGGTGTGACATACCGCACATACACAGTTTGCTCCTTGACACATCTGCACCTCCCTCAAATGTAAGGGTTGGCCGCTGACTAACGTTTCGCTCATTCACCCGATGGGTTTTGTTTCTCAAGTTTTAATCACTGCGACTGCATGTGTGCGATACTGAGATTCCAATATTCGTTGTATGCTTTCGCTATTTCCTCAAGCCACCAAGCCTCGCGTGTGGTTTCAGCCTAATTGCATAACAACATCAATTTCATTCTTTTGACTTTGCCACCGTCTCTTCTTTCGAATTTATGTTCGCCAACACGTTGGTGGATTTCCGAGGCGAGGGTTAAGTCTGCCTGCGGCCTCCCCAACAGTCAGTCAACCTTTTAACTCAAGAAAACCACTAAAATCGTTTGATGCAGTTGTGAAAAACTCAGCGATCTCTGTGGGATTCGAACTCACGACAGCAATGGCAAGGCTTAAGTACAGCCAACGTTCTAAACACTTGGGCTACGAGAACCCACCGGGAGTCGTGAATGCCGCCACATTTGAGTCAAGTCACCCTCCAAGAGCTACTTAAGTTTGCGAATTCGACCGGCTCACCTATTTCATTTTTATGTAAATCAAATGGCGCCCGTCTGCTTCATGGATTTTGTCCCTTGGTCATGCCCAGGACGTGGGGTTTTTATTATGATTAAGGTTAGGGCTCGGTGTTATCTTTTGTGTCAAGGTTACGTTTTGATTTAATCGTTAATTTTGGCGTTAAATTAGCATTATACACAGGACCATCTTTACATGTTTGCTCTTTTAGTTTAGGGTCTGGGATTCAGTTGGGTTTCAGAATTTCGTAAGTGCATGTTTATATAAATAATAATAACGGTTATCGTTGACGACAGAATCTGGCTCGTGCCTTATGCTTGGAGTTTACCGGTTGGTGTGCTATGGTTAATATTTTGATAGTGTGGTCATACTTACGGTTAGGCCTTATAGTCTCGTTTGGATCTTACGTGTTATTCTTAGTTATAGGGTTTGTTTGCAGGTGTGTTTAGCTATACGGAGTGGCTGGCATCATTCTAAAACGGTTACATTGGTTCCACATGTTTCCCTATAATTACATGCGTGTGCCCACTGCTTACCGCCTAAGCTTGATGGAGTGACATAGTCATAAGCAGTTCGGGTTCGTCTTACGCAGAGTGCCTTACTGTTTGTCATCATTGGCTTGCAGACTGCCACACCATTTATTCGCAACTTCCCATAAGTCTACTCGAGCATGCAAGCCCTATGACTGTATTACGACAGCTTAGTCTGCCCATCCAATTCGTAAACTTTATATTCGCATTACCCGTATTATTTTTTCATTCGTGGTTACATGCAGCAGAGGAACAACACAGAGAAAAGAGCCGAAAAGCACACTTCCTACTTAGGTGAGAGGTACCGGAGATAGGGAATGTTGGAAGGAGGCATGCGTGGTGCATGTGTTGATAGGGGATTGTGTGATGATGAGGTCGTATCTGCGGTGATCCACCGCAGATTTTCCTGAAGACACGCGACCGATTAGGCCTATACGATGAGTGAATGTGTGTATGCAGTGCGAGAAGTAGAGGCGGGTGAGACAGTCGTATGTTAGGGCTCCGGGCACTGGTTCAGCAGCCACGATATGATGGACTCATAGGTGTCCGACCAGGCCGAGGCGTGAGATGTACGTACGATCGCAATGAGGACTGGTTGGAATCGATTCCCGTTTGCAGGTAATGCTCGCAATGATGGTGAAGGAAGTAGCTGATGGTACGTCGAGTGCCGTCTCATCGGTGATGGGAGCGAGATAGGGGGTTGCGTTGATCGCTGTGGACGATGAAGGGATTGGGACGAGGATGATGATGCCGGTGCTCGAGGGCGGCGGGCACCAATAGCGTGATCAACAGTAATGGGTGGTTGTCGTCGTGGGGTTTGTGGCAGGCATGACAACAGGAGTGATGGTGGAAGGATAAGTTTATGTTGATGGACTGTTATTGCATAACGTTCAAAGAGGCCGTGGAATGTGTGTTGACAGCGAGGGCATATTACAGGCGGTTGACTGTTAACGTCGTGGATCCGGAGCGCTTCGGACCCGCCAGCTGCCCTTTAGACTTTGGCTGCAGCAGTTCGGTTTTTTATAGATAGCAGCGCCAGTCTTCACTTCTCTTCTCCAGCCCGGTAAATTCTGTGCGAGGTTTTCGCAGGTCTACTGGTTGATATGCGATCGTTTCAGAGAGCTCTTCAGAGTGTATTTGTAACATTGTTTTTGTACCCCTGGCCGGCGTGCACTCGTAGCGAAATCTCCTTAGAAGAGTCGTTTGGGTAATTACGCATCTTCCATCCTCACCGGGCGGCCACTCCATTGCAGATGCAGTCTCCTCAGTGTGGCATGGATGTTGAGAATTCTGGTCCGTTCGAGGACATCGGTGTCCAGCATTCGATTCTGCCATCTCAATTTCAGTGTTCGGCGATGGCAGTTTTGATGAAAGTGATTCAGCTTCCTAGCTTGATAAAAATATACGTTCCAGTCTTTCGCTCCGTGTAGAAATTTCATCAAGACTGCGGTCTCGTACATCCTCAACTTGATGTTTATCTAGAGGCCGTGACGATTCCATACGGGGGATTGCAGCTGATCAAAGGGCTGGTTGGCTTTGGGGTGCCGATGGGAAACCTCGCCGTTGAATTAAGTGCTGCGTGAGCACATGGTTTCTAGATAAGCGAAATTGTCAGTGCATTTAATTTGGCTCCTGTTGACAGTGATTCGAGGAGTACTGTATTTAATGTTTGACTATGGCTGGTGCATGACCACCGTTTTTTTCTGTATTGACATCTAGCCCGAATTTTGCTCAACCGGCGGCGAAGAGGCCAATGATTCGTTAATTCTCGAAGAGCAGGTAGTGGACTCTTGTCATAGATAGCCGCGTTGGGACCTGCACGCGCCTGTTAGGGGAAAAATGTCCTTCACTTCTATAGGCAATGTATATCCCAAGGCGCTCTTCAAGGCAGGCGTCCATCAGCATGGTAGAGAACATGAGGCTAAAGAGTGTTGGCGTGAGTACGTAGCCCTACTTCATTCCGCTGGTTACTTCAAATGCTTCAGGGACGGCCCTACTCTCCACGACGTACTTCGTCATTCCGTCGGGGAACTGGCGCATTATGTTCCAATTTCTGTATGATTTTTATATGATTTTCCACAGTTCTCTATGATTCCACGCTTCGAGAATTTTTGTCAAGTCCCGAAGGTGATGTAGAGGGGAACCTGAGTTTGCTGACAGGCGGCGAATATTATGTCGGTTGCTCCAAAGTGACAGCGAGAACTACGGTGGTTTTCCGGGAGAAGTGCTTGTTATAGATAGCCACTGTGACGGTTTAAGAGGATGCAAGCGAAGGTCTTTCCGACGATATTGGGCAGGAAGATTCCTATGTGGTTATCAAAGAGTTCCCGGATCCCATTACGTTTGTAGGGATGGTGAATTGATGCATTCTTGAAATCCTGTGGAATTAGTCTATGGTTCAATGTCCCCTGGAATAGCGTCGTGAGTTTATGAATGAACTGGGAGTCAGCATGCTTATAGACTTCTGTCGGTGTCGCGTCAGATCTAAATGTCTTTCCGCTGGACATTTGGCGTACGGCGCGGATGTTTTATGGAAGGAAAGACGGGCGATCAAGGTCTATAATGATTTCCAAATGAGGAAACCGATCAATGACAGCGTTCGACATTGCAAAGAGGTTGGTATGGACACATCTAAAGGGACCGGTGCTCCCGAAACTGCTACTTCTCGGCTAGAATCGTTGTTCGGTTGGTGTTGAAAAGCGAAAGGGTTCCTCCAGCTGCGGAACCGTAGATGGCCTTTATCGCTGAAAATAAGTTCTTTGATTTATTGTGGTCCTCGTACCCGGCCTTGCGAACCATCTAGGCATGCCAAATTACTCGCAACCACTGTTGAATAAGGCGGCGAAAACGGCAGACGGCCACTTTGTTAGTATCAGTCGTCAGTCACTGAAGATTCTATTCGGCCTGCTCTTTTCACTAAGCAAGTTTTTGATGGCTGCGTCATTTGGGTGCCGACGACGCGCGCGTCCGATGACGCCCAGGACGGTCTAGTGCAGGGAATCCCGCAGTTGTCAATATTGAGTCTCCACGGAGGCGTTTTCATCTGGAACTCACAGGTTTTCAAGTCGCTGGGTCAGTTGATTGCAGAAATGGAGGTGACGAACATGGCGAATCCAACCAGTCAGTATTTAACTAACCTGGTGGTTGCCTGCATTGTGGCCGCCTGAAATTTTGAATTCGAATCTTTATCTTAGGAAGGTGGGAGGGAAGGAATTGGGGAATTGAGAGAGGAGGGACGGGAATGAGAATGGGATTGCCGGCTGTACGGATATCAAACCCTGGGCACTCTTACCTGGTTAAGTCCGTCGGTCGGGGATGTTGCGGCTAGACAGAGCCCCGCACAGAGGAGCCACATGTGAAAATGTGGTGCCAGGTAATGGACTTTAGGCGCAGTTACTACCTACACGAGATATATGATACGATATACTACGAGCCTCACGTATAAACAAAACTGGACATTTGTAGACTCCTTCTATCTGTACTAGGTACCTATTGCACCTACTTTCCCTTCTTAACAGTTCATGGATATTTATTTCTTTTGTAACATCCTCATTCATCTCAATAAATGTTGTTGATGGCTAACTGTTCGAGAATGCGCCCCTGCCCGCAACCGGTTTAGACATAGAGAAGTTAGGAAGTCAGAATCACGTACAATATTGCAAAAATTTTGTTAATACTTTGAGATTGCACAATTCGCTCGTTGGGTGTTTGCTAATGTTCATCGTTCAGCCATATGATAAACAGTTAAACAATAAGAAAGGACACCTTGCCTCTACTACTGCTGTGAAGGTTCTTACTTTCCATTTGCTGTGTACTGTGTTTTGGCGTTCTCATTAACTTTCTTGCTGTGGTGAAGTCAAGCAGCTGTTTTACCCGCTCTTCTCAAGTACCATAAGCACTTTCACTTTAGAACTGGTTTTTATGAGTCTTCCCATCTTGTTGTTCATTATTATAGCCATGCGCCTTCCACGTATTTCAGTGGGAAGTCATCTGTTGTTAGGTTTTCACTTTGCCCTAAAACACTATTTTGAGTGCTGGACCTAAAATGCTTCGTGTAATATTTGAGGACGGTTTCCTCCTCCACCTGAGTGGTTACCGTTTAGCCAATTAGTGAAAAGTGTACGGAGCCCATTAGCGGACACTATGTCCAACCATGGTCCGTTCGTTCTCATGTGTCGTAGGAGGTTTAGTGCCAGTCATCTACAAGCTTTATTGCAGCCAAGCCTGCAAACTGTCATGTGCGACCTTGAGAAGTTTGGATCGTCTGAAATATAAACTCACCGCTTTGCCGCGCAAAAGGGATATTCAAGTAGCTGGCAAGTTGACATTTCACTATTTTCACTTGCAGAAGACTGTTTCTAATTTTTTTAACGATTATGATTGCGACTCGGTTTTTCTTTATCTACCTAAATGGGATACACATCAGAGTGCTGCGCAACAGAACGCATATTCGCGTTAGCGCATTATCGCTGCACGTCGCTGACGCGAAAGCGTTTCGAACAGCACATAAATTGTCAAGTTACTGCTTGTATTATGAACACTACTTTGTGTTCGGCACATCCTCAGGCTCCCGAGATGGACAGTGAAATTTCAAAAGACTTACCCAATTTTACAACTAATGAGAATGTCTTACTTCTCCTTCAGCTTCTTGTCTCGAAAATCCACTGGGTACAAACATGCCTGAGGCTCGACAACAGTTGATAGGTGTTATTGACCAAGGCACCAGCAGCTCGCGCTTCATTGTTTTTTCGGCAACGACAGGTGAAATTGTCGCTCGGCATCAACTCGAAATTGATCGTGAGCATCCACGTTCAGGATGGGTACAACAGTCAGCAATGGACATATACAGCAGTACCCTGCGCTGCATAAACGCAGTTGCCCGTGACTTGCGTTCTCTTAAAATATCTTTAAAGGTAAATTGTCGTCTTTAACTGCTCTCGGGGTTCGGCGAAAATGTCGCCGAACACTGGTTTTCTTTACTGCAATACGCGTGTTCGCATAGCTAGAGTATAGTTTATGTTTCAGATCTTTTGTACTTTGTTAATTTGTGGGTTTGAAACACAAAAACACTATCGTTTGTATGTGCTAAAAACAATTTTTTCGCTCTGAAGGATGTCGCCGCCATTGGTATTACTAATCAACGCGAGACCTCTATTGCCTGGGATTCTACGACGGGTGAGCCATTATGCCCAGCAATCGTGTGGTCGGATTCAAGAACATCGGATCTTGTACAGAAATTCATCTCAAAAACTCCCAGCAAGGACAAGAATGCCTTCCAGGTGTGCTCCTTTTTCGGACTTTTACTAAGACTCATTCTCATCAGAGTGCTCCGAAACATTTTTTTTGGTTTTTGCGGTACTCTACGGGGAATAGTGATTCATTAAAGGTTGATATGTCGTGTCAACTCTTAATCGTACAAAGATAGTATTCCGGATGCAGTTTGCACATCCCACGCAACGGTGTGCGGTTTGAATTGGACATACGTAGACGAGGCAGTAACTGACTGACAAACTTCTTCAACCTGCGTCACACGTTTCCTTGTTCGCAAGATTTCAACGTGTCAGACGACCCTATTTTTGGTCATTTCTTCTCTTCAACACTTTCATAGTCCAAGTATTTTTGTTCAAAAGTTGTCGGTTCAGTTAACCTGCTCCCACTAAATTCTCTTAAGGTTCATACAGTTACACAGCAACCCTGAAATTTTTTTTAAAAACGCCATTTTTGTCTCTTCCAGAAAAAAACTGGTCTTGCTCTTCACAGTTACTTCTCCGCCATGAAAATTCGCTGGATGATTGACAATGTGCCTGCCGTCCGAGAAGCACTAGAAGATAAGCGTCTACGTGTGGGCACAGTGGACAGCTGGGTTGCCTATAAGTTGACCGGTGGCGCATCCGGTGGTCGGCATCTGACGGATGTTACCAATGCTAGCCGCACTCTATTGTTTAACATTAATACACTCGAGTGGGACGGAGAAATCTGCAAGTAAGTTATCGACCTTATCTATTCTCAGTCTGTGCACTCTTATGTCCTTAAAAGGGCTTGTGCTTTATTGTCTTTATGTACGATGGCTTGATTTTTTAAGACAGATTGAAGTTTTGCCGACTATGTTTGTTGAAGGCACCTCCGATGCATTCGAATACCTAACTTTTCATCAGACGACGGTCTATAAAACGGTCAAAGCTCGATTTTAGAGAATGATGAGCACGAACCAAACTACAGGTCCCTTACCCGAAAATCATTGCATTTTGTGTTCCAGCCGGAAAACGACTGAGTATGTAGACCAGACGTGGAGCTCCCTTAGGGTCGGTTGGCAGTCCGACCATAAATAGGTTAGAGGCCCTCGGTGTGTAAATTTATTAGATTCATTATTAATATTGTTCTGAAAGTTTGAAAAACGCAATGAACAAACTATGCCGAGAATAATGTACTGTCCACGGATTTCGTGAGCGACGTGACCAGTCGTTTTAAGGAGAGAGCCGAAAAATGTAGAGAGTGAGGGAGGGAAAATACCTTTTTTAAAGTTTCGGACCCAGAAGGTGCGATAAATCGTAACATATTACTGGACGTAACTAATTTTGTAGAAACCGTTGTCGTGACAACTAAAAGCAGTGGAGCTAATCACATCAATAGTAAAATAAACATCTCCTCAAGAGGGTCTGAATATAGGCAAATCGAAGCATAAAAGCTACATTATTCTTCTTGTTCTCAAAGTATCTAATAAAGCAGAGGCTTCAAATGTTTTGGCACTATTAAAAACGGCCTCATTATTGTCAGTCATCCCTTACCTAGTTCACTACCGAGCCAGCGTTAGCTATATTCCTGGAATTATTATTGTGACAGCTCTGTGTATGGAAGTTTGCAAAAGTTCATTAGGTAGCATGAAATAATTTGCATCGGGGTTATTCCAGCGTTTTCATTCAAACCGGTTGATATCAAACGGGGACCACACATACACACACCAAACGCGTTGGCAACGCCTCCTACTGCATCAATAAGAAATAGTCTGTAAACTTGCGAGTAATTTTATATCCCTCGTCTGTCTCTCCTCTTTTGACATTCAAGCACCTCTTAATTATCGCTACTTCGAACAGTGGCTACTCTCTTCAGTTGCCCTTGAATTTCCTAAAGGTCGACATTAAGGTGTTATAACTCACAGAAAGACATTGATCTCTTATGTCAGGTTCTTCAAGATCAGCAGGAAGATTTTGCCCAAGGTCATCAGCTCGGCTGAGGCTTATGGCACAATCAAGGATCCTGAGTGCAGTTTGAAGGGTGTCACTCTGGGTGGTATCCTGGGCGACCAACAGGCTGCTCTTGTCGGACAAACCTGGGACCCCAACCCCGATCCCAGCTGTCCAAGGCCCCACGTGAAAGTTACCTACGGCACTGGTGCCTTTTTACTTTGGGACGTTGGGACGGAGCCAGTCTTCTCATCTCAGGGCATTCTCACCACACTTGCTTACAAGATGGGTGCGGACTCCACACCCCACTACGCTCTTGAGGTGAGAAGGGTCCTAATTTGTCAGATTTTTCAAACATGTTTTTTTTAACTCAGTGCCTTTGATATTTCCGTTTTTCTAAACTCTCATTATGTTAAATGCGATTTTGCAGCTCACTTCGACTCCCAGTATCTCACACAGGTCCACAAATCAATCACTCGTTGTTTCACTGAGTGACTCATATAAAAGAAATCTGTTTGATCTGACCGGCATTTAAATTTAATTTTGTTTGGCCATTGCGCTTTCTGGTTAGCTTTTAACAATGCTTATTAGGGCAAGGAAACTTCAGATAAGACTCAGTGTACAACGCCTGCTGATCTTCCATGATATTTGAAAACGCAGATGCCATCGGCTTTGGTTCTTGAACCTGAAGTCTGATCTTGCTTTATGGGATAGTTTCTATGAACACGAATTCTTTTATTTGCCCGACTGGTGGTCAGCCGGCGAGATCACGGACGGTGGAGTGCAAAGTAGGCAACTCGCAGTCGTGGACTAGCGACACCGGTGTTGGAGGCTGAAGTCCGGCAAATCCAACGCACTATACACTATCACAAATCCCGACTGCCACATTGTGATCTGACCACAAATTGTCATTAAATAAGGTCCTCTGCTAACCGCTGTCCTGCAGCTGGGCTTTAACAAACCAGAACGCTAGAAGATACTCCCAAGGCATCTTGGGGTTTAAGCCGGCCAGATCGGGCGTGATCAATGCCGTATCACTAGTTGAAACAGCAACGCCAATAACTAAATTTATCATCGGGGTCATGTTCAACCACGAACTTCTCTGCTTGCTATTGCTCATTAGTTTGCGGAACATTCTTACTGCACACTAAGTATTAGTTTACTGATCGGCACATCTTACGTTTGCCAGGATTCAGCCACTTTCTCCGCCACTCCGATGGGCTAGCTCTGCGGAAAGTCCGTAACGTAGTCGTAATAGAAGAGCTCTCTATCTCTCTCGGTGCGGACCTTTCGTTGCCGTACTTGAGTGCTCTAGTTCTGGCTTCAATTTCACGTTGACGACGCTTGCCAACTGGCGCCACTACAAAAACATCGACTGTTACCATGTGTGTTATGTCCTACCATTGTCAGGGTGCGGTGGCCTACTCTGGTGCGACCATGGATTGGCTTCGCAAGAGCCTGGAACTGTACTCTGACCACGGGAAAGGCGATAGGTTGGCACTCCGGGCTCTTCAAAAGACGCACGGCTCGCTTTCAACCGACGGGGGTCAACTGGCCCAAACAGATACCCTCGATGCCTGCTACCTGGTGCCCGCTTTCTCCGGTCTATTCTGTCCCTACTGGCGGGAGGATGCTCGCGGCGTAATCGCAGGTTTCGGCGAGGGCTGCACCCGCGGCGATGTGATTGCGGCCGGCTATCGCTCCTCAGCCTATCAGACGCAAGAGGTCATTCTGGCTGCCCTCGAGGCCTCCGGCTCTGACGGCGATAAGCGTCGACCTCCCAGGGTCATCTCCGTCGACGGCGGACTGACCAAAAGTCCTGTCCTCATGCAAAGTTTGGCCGACATAACAGGTGAACAAATAAATTCAAGACTACTTATTTCTCAATAGCCCTCAGGGGAGGGGGCACAAAGAGCGGTTAACTAAATGAATTTTTCCTCCTCCAGGTGCAAAGGTGGTACGTCCCAACAAGTCCGAAGTGATGACGGCTCTGGGAGCTGCTGTCGCCGCTGCGATATCTGTTGGCATTGATCCCACTCATCTTCTCTCTATCCGTCAACACGAGCCCAGCGATCAGGAGGCCAATACTTTCACTCCAAGGGTTAATGAGAAAACTCGCGAGTTATGGATACGTGGCTGGAAAAATGCCGTCCAACGCAGTCTGGGTTGGGTCCAGAAGTCCTGAACCAGGAGGTTACCTTACACTTCCAGTCCTCCTTAGGTAAGGCCTGTCAGGGACCCTTTATTACAAATTATAACTAACAGATTTGTGGACATTTAAGTAGACAGTCGGTCGTGAGTGAAGATCAATCCGATCGTCTTTACTGATGATTTCTACCATATGGTTCACAGCAAGTTGGGCGCAAGGAAGTGACTCACTCGTGAGTTAGTTTGTAGCAACAGAAGAATTGCACTGTGTCTACCTCACTCTCCTCCATCACCCGTTGTCAAGACAGAGTTAAGAAGATTGAAGACGGAGGTGGCTGGGGCGGCGTTAGCCTGCGCCTAGGGGTGCCACCATACTTTCACCGGGCCCCTCAGTTGGGGACACCCACTGTGTTTTGGAACACTAGGTTAAGTTTGACTTGGCTCAGAAGAGATCGAATCGTATAAGTCGGTTCCCCACAACCGACTAACATTTGGGCAACAGCGTAGAATGTTTTCTTCTGGCTTCCATCATCCCGTGCCTGCAGCAGTGCTACATCACTGACCGGATCGGGCTAGAATGGTGGTTCACCAATTCAATACTGTAAATGTTTTCAGTCCGTACTCTACCACCGGTCTGCAAGAGAAGCAAAAAATGCGGGCATTTTATAACTTTCAGTCGACGACCCATTCTTCGTTTTTTTCACTACTTTCAAGAGAGCTTATATAAACCCCGTCTTGTGCTTTAACAGTCACCGTTTCTGTCCCCGTTCTTTTTATTTTTTCCTTATTTTTTAGGGGGACAGACTGCCATGGTTAAAGCATGTCAAACTATTTTTCTAAAAGATGCCCACTCGTACTTCAATATACATGACTGTTTTTATGATTTCGATGCTTTTTATCTCGACTGTACACAAGCGTACCCAATAAATGCTGCTTCTGTTAGTGTAACCTGCTCATAACTAGGGGGGGGGGAGAGGGGCGGACTGTTGTCGGTTTAGTGTCCATGGTTTCACGCGCCATGGGCTACGGCCAGAAAGATGGAGGGTCACGTTGACACACGTCCAGAAACCTATCTAAAGCCCAGGACCGCACATGCCTCGAAACAACTGTTTAAAGTCCTCGCCGAGTAGTATTCTCAGCAAATACAAGAAAAGTAGAAATAGTTTTTGCTGGCGTAATAATCGTAGCAGAGGGATGAGAATTCCTTGGCTCAATCTTGTTTAAAGCGTATGTTTCTGGAGGACATTTAGCGCTCCAGTGAGAACCTGCACCGTTGACAGCAATCCGATTTGACGAGAGCCTTGAGATTGCACGCCTTATGAACAGATTCAGGCGACTTCTGGAAAGATGCGAAACCTATTTGTGCAGAATCTCGAGTCGAGATAATTAGGTAGGCAGGGAGTACCGGTGAAGGCAGGGGGATCCGATCATTGTTTTTTGGCGCCGTTGTTTATATATAGTAGGGGTCGCTATGGGGTCGCCTGCGAGGCGCCTAAATTGAGCCCCAAATCGCAGCGGGACCAGATTGGTGGACGCCCTTCCCACGGTAGTAAATATTTCCGATCGCGGCTGACAGGGTATTGGGCCCTAGCTCAATGACAGAGAGTTGGACTACCTAACATTTAATGATCAAAACTCGAGTTTAGACATCAGGCCATCTCAATCTCCCTTTGGCGATACTCCCTACCTGTGTATTACTGGTCGATATGCGGCTGCCTATGAGAGCTTCAGATTGAGTCGCGACGCGCAACGGGACGAACTCTTCCCGCAACTTGGTCTGGGAGCGGCCGTCCTACAACAGCCGTACCGTATATCTGGGAAGCATTACGGTATGTACTCTGTCGGACCTGTCATAAGCCTAAGCCCTAACACCTAGGCGCCAACTATAACCGACTGGTGGACACCCCCGCGTCTTTAGACGTCATCGGCGAAATTAATCGATTATTGATTAACGGTAGCGATACAGCCGCCCGCGCGGGCTCTAGTTCACGAACACCAAATGCGAACGGGGTGCCTATTTCTGTCACAGACACAGACAAGTGGACCCTGCTGCTATATGGCTACATTCCAGATCTCAGCCGATAGCGGGCAAGCCTCGTAGATCAGTCCGATCAGGACCTCAATGTCCTGTGATTCACTGAACCCTGGTTCAGACCACGGTAGCCCTTTCAGTCTCCGGTTCTCATTAATTTGGGTGTATTTTGACTATTAGTTGGTCGTTGTTATGGTACCTGCGAAGGCTCTAAGCTTCTGGAGGAAAGACGCATATGGTCGAGGTCGAGGAAGTTGAAATTTATTCTACCGTACCGTTTTCGAACTCCCTGAGAAAGATCTCGAGGTTTGTTTTGACCGAACTCGACTAGTTTAACGCCCAACCGGAGCGCTTGATGTCAGTGGTCCGTCCAGCACTTGCACGTTTCTTCCCAATCAGCCGGCGATGGCGCACTTAACGAACTCATAGGATATAAGAGCGAGGAGTTTGCGCTTTCTTCGTCAGGGTTTCCGGCATGCGGAGATTAGGTAATTTAAAGCGTGCTACTGACTACGGTCTCGATGTATAAACGACATTTCCCGAATAGCTACCGCGCTGAACCTCCAAAACGGTCTACATGCTCGATTAATTACACGTTTTTATGGCATGCAGGCAAGCCCTGAGTCGTATGTAGAGGTTAAAATACTTCCAGACAGTTTTTTCTTCAGGACCGACAAGATTTACAAGTGTGCGGCAACGGTAGGTTGTGTAACCCCACCCCTCAACCAAACCTAACTGCCTTATTATAGTTGATAGGAGGGACTATGCACAAGTATTCATAAAGAAATAAGCAAGTCAGGCGTATCCGTTGACAACAGAATCCGCTCGGCCGTACCGAGGAAGCAGAGCGTTTGTGTTCTAACCGAGGTAAAGTAGATCAAAACGCAGCCCGTGATCCTTGCAGCGCGAATAGCACTGTGAATACGGGCACGACACAAAAAGGGTTAAGTACGTTTCCGGAAGCAAACACACAAAGGGAGACTTCCTGTAACTGTGGAATTATAAACCAAACAAGGCCTTCTGAAACAAATATAATGGTAGCCTATACATGCTAAACCCAGTGGGGTTACACAACCTATCCCTGCCGATTGTGTTTTTGTTCTGGCGGCCCAGTCTTAAAGAAGGTAGTTTACTTTCTGGCGGGTATTAGCTTCAACTCGAGACTCTGTAGTTTCCCTCTTAATGATCTGCTTCAGATGATGATTCTCAAACTTACAAACGTATTTTAAACCTATTTCGTTAAACCGACTTACTCGGCTATAAATTCCGCAAATTGGACGCCTTGAAGCGTTGAATGGATGGTTAGTAATGAAAATATGTTCGCCCTAAGCAAAGTGTTGCTTGTAGGAAAGAGTAGAAGGTTAGGTGATGTGCACCGTTCATGTAGTTTAAATTTGACCTGTCAGAGGGAGTTTCCGGGTTAAGTAAGGTTTTTCAACCTGTTTCTAAGGCCTTCGTTAAAAGCCATGGTGCAGTCCTCATCGGCGTGACGCAGTGGCAACCCTGTTAACTATTGTTTCGAAGCTCCTAGTGACCATGAAACGCCAGTGATAGGTCTCGCCTTCCACAAACGCCTGCATACAAGACCCCATGGTTCAAGCCGACCTCCTCAAGAATGCGGCGTTCCGAAAACCCAAAAGTTCCTGCACTAGGGTTTCTATTAGCGTCGCCTCTCCATGTGTTTAATCCTGTTATTGACCCTTCCGTATACTAATGAACCCGAAGACACCCACTCAGTCTCGGTAAGAGTTAGATCGGCATGGCTGTCACGAAGGCATCTATCCTCCTAAGTGTTAGGGTTAGGATACGAGAATAGGAGCAATCCGTAATTTTGCGCAAAACCACCCGTCATACAGGGAATACCTTCTTCCATGTCTTGCCCAAGGGAAGAGGCTGCATTTGTGAGTTCGAAGTATAGAAGTCTAGAGTTCAAGATTACGAGCCTTGCGAAAGAGAGTTTTTTGCCCGGCAATTTTTGTTCCATTTTATGTTGACTCGTCAAGTTCTTATATCACCGCATACAGTAAACATAATCTATAGGAAATCGGACTGACAGTAAGAAAGTGCGGTTTCCATCGATTGGGTAAAACATATTCCGTCAAAAATCGAACAGAATAAGGAAAAAAGTGAGACCACATTATGGTGGAAAAGGGGAAGAAGCATTCGCTAAGAAAAATATATACTGCTCAACGTTACGAGTAGCGAGCTCGCCTGATAGCTTCAGAGACAGGACTGGACCACGTAGAGCTAGCCATTTTAGGTCGCTGCGTTGGACCTGATGTCCGGGTTATTAATACCGGCCTCATGGGAAAGTGATTAACACTCAGTGGGTCGTAGGATGTGTTCACTAGAATGCAGACGATGTTCTTTAGGCATAGGGTGGTGCCGCGAGTATGTAGTTAGAATCAACGCACCTGGCGATGGCACGTCTTGCTTGCCTTTAATCGGGTAGTTTACTGTCATTGACGTGCTGTTTAGTTTGTTCGTACTGTCGTCACCGTTTCGCACAGGGTTGAGGGTAGACGAAGTCACCTAAAACCAATCGTTTTTTCGGATTGCCTCCCCCACGGTGAATCTCGTCTCCAGGGTAACCAAGACCGGCTGTCCCTTCCAAAACTCTATCTTGTTTTGCGCGATACCACGTAAGGCTTCTGCTTTATTACGTCCCCGAAATTTGTGTTTAGATATCTCAAAGACACTTTTTCTTTCAAAACGCTAGCTAATGACTTCAACAATCAATCCATAGATCGCTGAGATCTGGAAATATCAGGCAACAAGTTCGTTGTTACGGATGCGCACGTGACCTAACAAGCTCACGCGGTGTGTGGATATGCGTGGACAGTACGAACAGGTAAGACAGATACGGAGAGTGCTCGTGAGGGTTCTTACCACTGATGTGTCTGTCGCAGTACGATGGGATCATACATTACCGACCAGGCCGATGCGTGAGGCGAATGTGCGATGGCAATCGGGACAGGTTAGGACCGCGTCCACATCGCTGGAGG